AGTTGTCTTTGATCCCGAATGAATCCTCTGAGAGAACTCAGTTCGGGTCACAACGTGTTACCTCCCAGGCGATTCTTCAACAACAGCTGGAAGAGAAAAAGCTCAGACTCAGACACTGAGCTCTCCCGTGGAGCTCCTTCCTACCATCCCGTGTTCCCCAGGGCAGGCTCTGGCCTTCCCTGGACTCACTGGTGGCCAAACAGGCTGTGAGGGGAGGCGACTTGTATGCCCAGAGTGAGGCACTGGCCCACACTGTGGCCAGCCCCAGCCACGCAGCTCGCCCTGCCCTCATTCACCAGAAGCTGATGGGTGGCGCCCCCTTCTGCCCAACTGCTTCCTAAGCTGTAGGAGCGGCTGTGAGCAGAACCTGAATTGCTGCTTGCGTGGAGAGCTCCGCGGCGACACGCAGGTCACTGTTGGGCTCAGCTATGGCACTCTGTGATCCGGTCCTGGCACTGTGTTGTGAGAGGAGCGATGAAGAAAGCCTTCTCATGCCAGTCCCTCTGGTGTCTGCGCTTTAGCTGCTCCTGCTTTCGTGCCAAATGACTCATGACCATTTCTAGAATTAAAACCCAAGATATCTTAAACTTTTTCACATTGAAAAGTTAAAAAAAAACCCATCATTTACATTTTAAACTCAGTCCTCATTTTGTGTTTACTTTTTGCATATTTGTGCATAACATTACATGATGTGTGTATCATCTTAAGTTCCTCAGTCATTTAACTCCTTCAGAATTTTTTTCCTGACTCCCACAGATAATTTTGTATGGAAACCATGTTAAGCCATGCCTTTGTTTGTGCTAGCTTCCCCAAAGTGGGAATTTTAGGTTGCCACAGGTACAGCAAGGTGAAGTGTTCCATGTCACCACGTGCTGGTTTCTTGGCATTCTTGTTAGAAACAGTGGGGGTCCCTCTTCATCTCTGAATCAGATGGCCAAAAGGACCCTGTGTCACTTCATATTCTGGTAGTAAATTGAATAAATTGTCTACTAAAAACAAAGCAAACAAACAGAAAAAGAACACTGGGCCAGGGACGAGGGTCCGGTGTCCTTAAAGACCAAGCGGGCAGGTGGGCCGCCTTCTGTTCTGGTGATCAACCTTCCCTTCCAGGGCCTTTCAAACTATGATGATGGCTCTACACCTGTTAAACCAGGCAGCCGGAGTCATCCTGGCCAGGCTGAGAGCTGTCCCTGGGGCTAGGGCCCAGTGTTGCCTCGCTGTGGATGGGCTGCCCACATTTCCAAATCACCAGCCAAGCTGCTTTTCCTGCCTCCTAGTGTGGGGAGGATGGCTCAGTGTGGACAGTTGAAAAAGTGGAGACCAAGGTCCAGCCTATCCTCCTTTATAGCTCATTCCTCCTAGTGGCCTTTCACACAGCCTACCTTCTCCAGTCCGGGTGAAACTGGCCCCTAGCAAAGCAAAGAAGGGACAGTACAGAGGTCCTCGTCCCTCCAGCCATAACCAGTGATGGCCTTGACCCGGTTGCAGGGGTAAGCGCCAGGCCCTGGAATCATGTGTGGGCATGGCTGGGGTGTTATCCTCCACCAGCCATGAAACCTTGGGCAAGTGACACATGTGGTTTCAGTGTGCTCACCCATAAGAGGAACATGGTCATTGTTCTGACCTCAGATGGCTGTGGTAAGAATGCTAAGTGATAACGTGCATGCGGGGGCAAGGAGCGGGCTTACCAAGCAGTCCCCTGGAGGCTGAGGTTGCTGGATCCAGGAAGTGGCAGGAAAGCTCTAGAAATGTCTGGGGAAGTGGCACCATGCATTGTGCTCCTGAGAGATGGTGCTGAAGGCAGGAGCAAGAAGGCTGGCAGAAGAGCCTTGGAGAGACTTCCTGCTGCTCCCCGGGCGGCCTGGGGTTGCCAGGCAGCCTGAGTGGAGCTATGGAGCCTGGGCTGTGTCCTGTGGCTGCAGATCAGGGGAGCTGCAGGCAGTGAGGGAGCATAGACAGGCGCCTTGGGTGGGGACGTTCAAGCCGCCACTTCCTCTTGCATTGGACCCTTTTTCTTCTGCAAAAGGCAGTGCTTCCTAGTGCTTTCCCATGCCCAGATGTCACATGCTGGTGTCCCAGGATACAGCCTAGAGACTAGGAAACAAGTAGGAAAAAGACCAGTGTGCGGGATAAAGATTGGTCCTAGCTTTCCTCAGACATCATCATAGGGGCTTGCCACAAGAGGCAAGGACTGGGTGCCCATCTGAGTTTAATGACAGAGGTTCTGGGCTCTGTATGGCACACTGCTGTGTCTTGTGGGCTGTACCCTTTTAGGCCACTTCTGGCCTGGCATTGCTGCAGGTGCTTTTTGAGAGTATCTGGCCAGGTCCCTGGCACCAAGGAGCTCTCATTTCCTGCCCAGGTCCCTACCCTTTGCACAACTTGTGGGAACTAGGGAGAGAAGGCCGTGACTAGCAGTCCCTATCCAAGGGGAAGGGCCTTGGTGAGGACTCCAGCCTCCAGGCCTCCTGTGGGAAGTTCTGAGGCAGTAGGATGGGGCCCCTCTCACTTGGGCAAATACTCTGTGCTGGCTGGCGTTCCAGTCTTTTCTAATTTATGCTTCCCTAGCCCCTGGAATGACTTCCCCTATTACAACAGCTGCACACAGCCCCCAAACAGCGCTCTCCTTGATGCTGGCACCAGGGGAGCTAAGGATTTGTCTCCTCCCCCTTTCCTTCCCTGCCCCCTCTCCAGGGACACCAGAGGTCTGCTCTGATCTGTTGTTTGCTAGATCCAGGAGTCACCTCAGCCCCTGGAGGAATCAAGCCTCTCTTGTTTACCCAATAACAAGCTTCTCAGCCATATCACCTCTAGTTCCCTGCAAAGAGCTCCCCTTGGTGAAGCTCCTAAAGTTAGGGGCCAGCTCTCCCTCCTTCCCAGCTTCTATCTAAATGTGCTTCTGTCTTCAGGGCATCAGAGATAGGTCTCCATTGAGGGTCCCCAGCTGTTTGCGTGCATGCTTGTATGCGTGCGTGTGCTTTAAATGTAAACGTACGCTGTCTTTTGATTACAGAAGCAAAGCACGCCAGTGGCCCAGCTTACAACAACACAAAACGTGCAGTTTGGAAAGCTCCATGTGCTTGCCCCTTGCACCCACTGAAGGTGGTCATTTTATGACCCTTGGAACAGGACACTTTCAGGCTCAGGGAATGAGGCTGGTGGGGCCCGGATGGACAGCTGGAGTCCTTACCAAGGGACATTTCTTTCTATGCAAATCGTGCATCTCTTCATTTGCAGCAGCTCCTAGGTGCCAGGGACTGGGGGGCGCGTGCTGCTGGGAACGGGGCAGAGGAGGCCCTGGCGACATTTCCCCCACCCCACCTCCTCAATGGGCAGAGCCTGGGTAGCTCTCACGTTCTGAAAGATTCTTCCAGATGCTCCAGGCTGCGTGGTGTGCTTTGCTGTAGCACAGCCATGGTCAGACCCTTCCCTCCATCTCGGTTCTCCTTGGCTGGAAGTGGCCTGGACATACTATTGGCTTTACCTCTTTTATGAAACACAGGTCCCCTTTAAAATATTTATTTATTTGAAAGGAAAGCTGCAGAGATAGGGAGAGACACACAAGGAGACCATCCGTTGCTTGGTTTATGCCCCAAGCAGCCATAACAGTCAGAGTTGGGCAGGCGAAAGACAGGAGCCAGGAGCTTCCTCTGGGTCTCCCACATGGGTGCAGGAGCCCAAGGCCTTTGGCTACCCTCCGCTGCTTTCCAAGCCATTAGCAGTAAGCTGGAATGGAAGTGGAACAGCTGGGACTTGAACCAGGTGTACTCCATCCAGCACCCACATGGGATGCGAGGGGTCCAGGTGGAGGGCTTACCCTGCTATATCGCAGTCCTGGCCTCACAGATGCCCTTTTTAAAACATAGACATTCACCCTCTTTCAACATCCTGCAGCAGTTAAAAATCAATGTTTGGGTACCAAGAGGCTGGAAATTATGTAGGAAAGGTGCTGCTTTGGGCAGATTCCCCCTCCTCCCACACGGACGAGGGGGCGGGGAGCCCTCGGTCTCTGCCTTGGGAGTCAAGGCCGAGGGGAGATGTGGCTGCGGAGGGCAGGTTGCAGCAGGCGTGGGTAGCCTTCTGAGGGATATGAGTGGCCACACCTGTCCTCAATGCATTCAATTCCATCAGCTCTCCCCAGGACGCAGCTGGAGGTCGGTTTCCTACCTCCTTGCCACGCTTGCTGTTATTCCAAACTCGCTTAGCTCTCTCCTCTTCCTCATTCAGTTTCACAAAAGCTGTGGTCAATCTCATATCAAGGGAGGCTCATTTATACCTTGGTGCAAGAGACTGATAGGCTTGAAGGAGGCATTGGCGCAGCGCTAGCGCGTTTGGGAGCCGCGGGTCCTAGCCAGTTCCGCGTGCCCCACGCCCACCTCGCCACCCCAACCACCCACTTCCTCACGGAGAACCGGCGTCAGCTGTGGGCCCCTCTGCTTGGCGAGCTGGGCGCCGCCGGGGATCGCAGGGTGGGCGGCGCCCGGCAGAGGGGCAGTCCCCACACCTCAGCCCCGGCCCCGGAAGGCGGTGGCGGCCAGAGAGGCAGCGTCCCGGACTATCACCCTCCCAGGGAAGGCGCAGGTTCACTCCATCCTTCCTGCTCGTGGCCCTCCGCGCGCTTTACTGCAGCCGCCGCTGCCGCCGGGGACCCCGAGCCCCTCTCCCCGGCCGCCCGCGGGCCTAGAGTCCCCTCCTCCGCCGCCGGGTCCCTCGGCTCCGGGCCGCGCTCCCGCGAGGGCGGCGACCGGGGGAGGGGCCGCGCCCCCGCCCGCCTCCCGCCTCCGGGGCCCGGAGCGCGCGGGGCCCGCAGCTCGCGGCGCAGCGCGGGGACTCGCCGGTTCGGCGGGCGAGAGGATGCTACTGGCGGGCTCCTGCGGCCTCGGCCCGCGCTCTCGCCGGCCAGAGCCCCGGGCGCGCCCCTAGCCGCTGGCCTCCAGCCCCGAAGCCGCAGCCCTGAGGGCCGGGCGCGCTTGGCCGGCGTCCGCGAGCTCTCCACCTCGGCGTCGCCGCCGCCGCCGCTTCCTCCAGCGGCCGGGCCCCCGTAGATGCCAAGGAGCAACCCTGCGCCTCTCCCGGCCGGAGCCGGGGCCTGACGGCGGGGAGTCGCGCCCTGTCGGGGGTGGCAGGAGCGGGACCTGGGTTGCCGCACGCGTGACCCGGCCCTTAGCCCGTGCCGGAGCACGCTGTTCCTGAGTTCCTGCACAGGTAAGCGCGGTGTTGGGTGGGTGGGGGTGGGCGATGTTGGAGAGGGGGCCCGGATCTCCAAGGGCTGGGTGGAGATGGGAAGTAAACAGAAGGAAGATTCAGGAATCCCCAGGATGGCTCCAGGTCCCTCCTGGCACGTTTCATATCCACCTTCCAGGGATTGGGCCTGGAGGGAGTTTGGGCGAGGAAGTCAGGGTCTGGGAGACGACAGATGGTTGAGGCAGGGCGCAGGCAAGGGGAGGTGCCTGGGCCCCTGGACAGGGTTGCCCTGGTAGACTAGAGTGTGGCCCTCGGGGCAGGCAGGGCTGCGGGTGTGCCCAAGGTGCGGTGGTGGCCGGGTCAGATCCGCGGGTGGGGAGGAAGGCGTCCCAGTTTAGTGATGTCCCTTTTCTTTGCAGGTGATCAAGACCCTGTCCACCCACCTCTGCCTGCCCCAGTCCAGAAGAGGCCCCTCGTCAGCTCCAGGTCTCTCATTGCCCCACAAGGCAGAGGTTCCTTCCTCCCTCAGTTCCTAGGGCACCTCTCCAGGGCCAGCAGGGGCAGCCAGCAACCAGCATGCCAAGGAACCAGGGCTTCTCGGAGCCCGAGTACTCGGCGGAGTACTCTGCCGAGTACTCGGTCAGCTTGCCGTCGGACCCTGATCGCGGGGTGGGCCGGCCCCACGAGATCTCCGTGCGCAGCTCGGGCTCCTGCCTCTGCCTGCCGGGTTTCATGCGGCTGACCTTCGTGCCGGAGTCCTTGGAAAACCTTTACCAAACCTACTTCAAGCGGCAGCGCCACGAGACGCTGCTGGTGCTGGTGGTCTTCGCGGCCCTCTTCGACTGCTACGTGGTGGTCATGTGCGCCGTGGTCTTCTCCGGCGGTGACAAGCTGGCCCCTCTCGTCGTGGCCGGGGTGGGGCTGCTGGTGGACGTGGTCCTCTTCGTGCTCTGCAAGAAGGGGCTGCTGCCGGACCGGGTCACGCGCAAGGCGGTGCCCTACCTGTTGTGGCTGCTCATCACCGCCCAGATCTTCTCCTACCTGGGCCTGAACTTCGCGCGTGCCCACGCGGCCAGCGACACGGTGGGCTGGCAGGCCTTCTTCGTCTTCTCCTTCTTCATCACGCTGCCCCTCAGCCTCAGTCCCATCGTGATCATTTCCGTGGTCTCCTGTGTGGTACACACGCTCGTCTTAGGGGTCACTGTGGCCCAGCAGCAGCAGGAACGCCTGCAGGGGGTGCAGCTGCTGAGGGAGGTGAGTCCTGTCCACCGTTGCACCTCTCTGTCCATCCGTCCACACTCACGCCAGCCAGCACCTCCTATGATCGGGCCAGGGGCATGGCTGCTTTGCTTGTGGTCCTGCAGGGCTCCCAGCTCCTGTGTTTGAAGGATGCCTTGTTCCCTACCCTTTGGCGCCTCTGCGTTACCTTGTGCTTGCTACGCCTAGGGGAAGGTGGGCCTGGGGGTGGTTCACGGGGCCTCAGGCACCCTCTGTCAGCTGTGCCCAGTATGAGCAGATGGCAGGAAGGATCATCGAGGCCCAGTCCCCATGTGGTATTGTTTAGGCCATTTCTTGTTTGCGGCGCCAGCTGGGAGGACTGATGTGGGATAAGAGGGCCCTGCTAGGTTCCCTCCTGCAGACCACCACTGACCACTGTCCCCACGGGTGCTCAGTGCCCCTCTGTCCAGTGTCCTGCCCTGGTGACATGCCTATCGTTGGGATCCCGGGGAACATAGGTAAGCAAGGCAGGATCAGATGTGGGGTGTCCGTAGAGAAGGAAGCGGTGGTTATTCTGTTTTCTGCCTCTGCGAGGCTCCAGGTACCCACAAGCTGATGCGTGATGTGGGGGGGCGGGGGGGGGGGTTTGACCGTCTTCCCTGAGAAAGCTTGGTTTGGTTTGGGGACTCAAGTGGGGACAGTCATAGCAGCCCCTTTCGAGCAGGGTCAGCTGGCCCTGGCCGACATATCTGGAAGGCATGTTGGTCTCAGTTAAACTGATGTGTTGTGATACCCTCCCGCCAAGGCCATGACCCTTGCCAGGCTCTGGGGGACTGCAGTGACCAAGGAGAGGAGATCTTGGTGCAGGGTTACTTTGGGGGCTCAGTCAGTGCTTGTCGTGGTCTGCTGGAGACCCTGTGCCACCTCACAGTGTACAGGAGCTGGCTGTGGCACTGAGGTGGGCTGGAGTACCTGTTCCCTGATCCCCTTCCCCGTGTATCTCACTGTTGCCCACCACATCCTTGCTGCGGTCTTGGCCAGAGCCATCCCTGTGGTCTCTGGGTCCCCAGGCGGTGTGTGGGAGCATGTGGCCCTATTGGCGGTTGGTGCAGGAGCTGTTGTGTGGCTGTCCCTTCCGCCACCTCTCGTCCTGCTAACAGCTTCTGCTCAGGAATGGTTTTTCCTTTGTTCTTGGGCCTAGGGACGTCCCCATGTCCTTTCTGGTGCTGGAGCTCAAGGAAGTTTTGGGCTCTGGAATCTGGTGCTGGGCTTGTGTGTATGGGTTTGAATGGACCCCCCAGGTGCTGGGCTTGTGTGTGTGGGTATGTATGGACCCGCTGGTGCCCCCCTGCCCAATCTCCCCGGGTCCTGCCTGGACGAGGGCACCACACACTGTTACTGTTGTCACATGGGGTTGGTGGGCTGCAGCCCGTGCCCCTCCACTGCCCAAGCGCCCCTCTAGAGGTTGTTTGGGGAAGGATGAAGACCTTGCCTGTGGTGGGAATTGGAAGAGTGCAGGTGGACAGGGGGTCTGGAAGCGATTCTGCACCATCACCTTCTAAGGGACGCTTGTTTCTGGCTCTATGCTGTTTCCTGGAGTCCCTGAACCAAACGAGCTTCCCACAGCCCTGTGCTCTCGGGTCAGGGAGCAGGCAGAGGGGCCCATTGGAACACAGCAGTTGTCTCAGTCTCTGCTGAATCTGTTGCTTGGCTGGAGTAGGGTGGTTGTGTGGGGGGTTGAATGGTCACCCCTAGAACTGTTTCCGGTCTTGGCAGAGTTCTGAGGTAAGGGGACACGGGGGGGCGGGGAAGGCTGTCATGACCTGGGCAATTCTGGGCCGTAAACACAAGGGACAGAGGTGCTGTGTGCCCCTGTAGAGCCCGGCTGCGCACGGGCATAGAGAGGCCTCCATTGAGGTGTGGTGCTTGGTACGCAGGCATGCTTTCCCCCCCTGCCTTTGGGCTCTTGGGTCAGCAAAGGAGACCTGGCTGTCACTCCAGCTGGGAGATTGGCACCTCTGAGAGGTGATCTGCCAGGAGTGGCAGGGTCCCATGCCTCTGGCAGCTCTGGAGTCAGACCAGGCCCTGGGAACCTGCCACTATGCGCAGCCTTGGTGGAAGCAGGCGCAGCCTTGGGGGAAGCAGATGGTCCTGTTCACTTGCTTGTTTCTCTGCTTGTGCCTCAGCCTCTGACCTGTTCTGGAAAACCGAGCATGGCCAGGGTCTGGAGGAGCATCTGATCTAGATTCCCCGGTGTGCAGGGCAGGAGCCATGGGGGTGGACATGCAGCCCATCAGGGACAGACTCTGATCGGGAGCCCAGGTGTGCCAGCTTCCTCACAGGTGGGACGTGTGTCCTGCTAGCCTGAAAGCTGTGTGCAAGCAGGAACTTTGCTGATCACACCATGTTGGTGGCAGTGGCTGCTGCACTGGGGTCCCAACCTGAGACCTTTGGAGGAGGCCTAACTTGATGGTGTGGTGGGGTTCATGGACTCCCCGGAGACCCCTGCCACTTCCAGCCCTGCTGTGTGATGGTGGCCCCTGCCATGTTTGTTGGAAATCTCCCTCTGGTTTGGGTTGACATCACTGTGTGGAGACCATTCGTTGGGTCTGTGATTGCTGGTCTCCTTTGGGCACTAATTTAAAAACAAACAAACAGAACCAAATATAGGAAACAGAAAAAAATAAGCAAGTACAAAAATATGAACATCCCAGCAGGGCATGGCCTTGGCATGACAGCGTGGCTTTGGGGATGCAGGGAACAGGGGGCTGCTCCAGGTCCCCTAGGGAGCCTGAGATGGAAGGTTGACAGGGGGCTGTGTTCTGGAAGTTTGTGAGTCATTTGCTGGGGCCAGATGGGATTCTTGAACATAGGCTTGGGTTCCCAGACACGCACTGAGGGCTTCTCAGTCCCAAAGCGTCCTTGCGCTTGCTGTCAGCACTGTGGGGACAGATCCCGGGGTGGCCGTGTTGTTGTGGGGAGGGCCACCTGGGACCCAGCTCTATCCTAAGTTTTTGGAGCAAAGCATCGTTCACCTGCCCTGCCCTGCTCTCCTCTGGGCCTGCGTTCCCTCCTGGGAAGGGGCTACTGCAGACCCTGGCCCTGCACCCCATGCCCTGCCTTGCCTTCCCTCCTGGGATGGGGCCTCTGCAGACCCTGGCCCCGCACCCCACGCCCCGCCTTGCCTTCCCTCCTGGGATGGGGCCTCTGCAGACCCTGGCCCCGCGCCCCGCACCCTGCCTTGCTTTCTCCTTCCTGCTCTTTCTCTTCTGTGTCGCTGTGCCTGCGGGGTAGGCGGGGTGAAGTCTGGACTGCTGTACTCCTGGGTGGGTTGTGAGCTTTTGGGGATTTTGCCTTGGCAGCGCTGAAGAGGCATCCTTAGTGTCAGACTGTCCCTGGCAGTCCTGTGGGGAAGGAGCACCCAGTGCTCCCGCAGCCTGTCCCGGAAGGCTTGGCTGCTTCACCAGTGGTGAGTGTTACTCAGTGGACAACCTGCCTGGCAGCCTGCAGGGTTTGAGGGTAAGGAGGGACAGGCTGTCCGGAAGGCTGTGCTTTAGCAAGGGTGACCAAAATTGGGGTGGTGGTGTTGCACATCCTTGCCCGGTGGCTCACCACCCTGCCTGCCTGTTTCCGCTCCTGGGATGGGTTGAGGAAACAGGGATTAGTGGCTGCTGGGTAGACACGGACAACAGGGAAGGGGCAGAAGATGTAGCCTCTGGCACAGCATGCACCTGTGGTCAGTGGCTGCCTTGGCCCCAGGTACCAGTGTGCACCTACTAACTGCTGTTGTTAAAGGCAGGAGTCTATGGCAGATCCGCCTAGACACCCCTGATAAATTTCGGTGGCTTTTTTTCACAGTGGAAAGTTATTTGGGAGCAAATTGCCCTCATGAGATGAATAGTGTGCTTCAGGGGAAACCTGTTGGGGCTGTGGGTGGGTGATTCCAGTCACACCTCTGGGGTACCCAGGAAGTCGCTTGGTGAACAAGTGTTTGGCTGTAACAGGCTGCAGTGTGGAAAGTGGTGGGGAGAGCTAAGGTTTTCAGGGGCAGCCCTGCTGCAAGGCTGGAGCTCAGTGTTGTGGACGCATCGTCCTGCACAATCTCGGATGTGACCCTTTCACAGTTGAGGGGCCCAGTGAAGTGAGAGGAGATAGCAGGGTGGAGTCATATGTGAGTGATTGCGGAGTCTTCCTTGGAAGGCTCCTCTGTATAGAACCCAGGCAGTGTGTGGGCTCCTTCCTGCTTTCTCTGGTTGTCCCCAGTTCCCCTGGGGACTGGAGAGCAAGGGGGGAGATGCCATGCTGGACTGTCCCTTGTGGCAGCCTGGCAAAGGGAGTAGAGCTGGGGTGGGGCAGGAAGGCAGCAGGCAGAGGGCGTGGGGTGGGAGGAGGCCGACCCAGCCCGGTTCTTGTCCCTTTGGCGCCTGCTCTGTCATCATTTCAGGGTCCCTTTGTGAGCCCTGCAGAGGCCCGGGGTACTGGGGCATGCATGGAGGGGACTGTGGGGGCATGGACTTGCCTGCACGTGGGGAAGGGCCAGCAGGTACCGAGGGTGCACGCGGGCCTGAGAACACGTCTCCTTGTGGGTGCACTCCCACAACCACATCTCCCTGTGGCCTTTTCCGGTCCTCATCGGTGTAGGCAGAGCTCACCCGGTTTGTGACTCACCTTTCACCCTCAGCATTTCCCTGACATTTGGCTCTGAACCGCCGAGACCTCATGTTTATGGTTTTATTGGCAGCTGGTTTTTCTGGCGAAGAAGCCAAAGCCCAGGGAGGGCTGGACCATGCTGGCTGGAAGCCTTGGGTGTGCATGCATGTGCTCGTGTGTGTGTGTGCGCACGCACACTCAGGCACTGACATGCTGCCCAGGCTTGGTCTGCCCAAGGGCTCTGGTACATTTTCCATGAAGTAGAATTGCTACAGCTCCTGTGCTATGCTTGTTTTGTAGTTTCTTCAGAAGCAAAAGTGGATTGGGGCTGGCTCTATGGCTCAGTGGGTAGCTGGTGTTTGCAGTTCTTGCATCCCGTATGGATG